CTATCTTGTTCGTGCAATTGTGAACGCATCAATGCGTTGTAATTGTGTTTCTTTTGGATTTCTTTGTCGATTTGTTTTTTTTTTTGAACTTTAGACCTGCTATTGCTTGTTTGACTCGGCTTTTGTTTTATGGACTTGAGGGGACTATGGGATTCACGTGAGACTTTGATTTCATTAATATCGGACATCTATATGTAGAATCAGATTTTGAACCACTAGGCATCAATAACCTCATGACAGTTGACAGACACCTAACGTGAAATCGACATCAATTCGCCATTAGTGTTGCAGTTCTTGGTAAGAATAAAATATTAATACGACTGAAATAAAGGCAAAGTCGTGTATTTGAATGACCAAAAGTAATGTATTATATTATTTTAATTTATTTCCCTACTTGTACAAAACCAGGCCTACGCTTCATACAAATTTGGACCGTCTTGAAACTTAAACGTTTTAAAAGAGGTAAAACTGACTTCAAAATCTATGATTTGTAATTATAATTGTAAATATGGGAAGGAACTGAACCCCGACACACAGCTAATGCTAGTTCGGGACAGGGCTTCAACTTTGTTGTTTCAATATGGTTTTATTTAATAAATACATTTTATATTATAAAATAATTTATATCGTTTGAATGCATACTTTATTCAACGTTAAAATATTGTATAGAAGTTAAATTTATTTAGCCTATACACAGCATGAAGTAAAATTAATATTATTATCTATCATTAAAACAACCTGTTACTTTACTTAACTGTTTCCTTACAGAAATTCATTAGGCACAATCTGTACAAAGTGTCGACCCGCACTGCCGAAGGACTCTTATTTTAATTATCCTAAGTATTTATTCTAATCTAAATGATTATATTTGTAAATAAAATACAGTAACATAATATTTAATATATCTACATATTCACGGTTATTTTTCAAAGAGTACCCAAATTCTAAACTTGAGCTCAAATATATAAATAATGATATACCGTTATTACTTCTATTTGAAATTATCCCAAATTGAATGTGATTTATGGGCAAGAATGTTTTTGCCTACCAATCCGCGATTTACCAACAATTTTGAATTAAAAAGATAAAAAGGACGCAATATTTGACATTGTTTTAAATTAAATTTTCTTCGCCCTCTGCCTATATTACTTATTTTGAACCTTTTCTGCAAATTTGGTCGGTCATTGCAAAATAACAGCAAATATTGATCTTTTATTAGATGACGTGAAATTCAATATTAATAAATTCTCTAATGCTTATTTGTATGTAACACGTGTTAGAGTCCAAGGGCTTTTACTGAATTGGTTTGTGCCTGGCGCTTGTTGCAACGGGACACGTTTGAAGGCGACTAATAACTTCATTCGTACTAAAGTGCTTTGTAAAACACTTGAGAAAAAAAGACCAAGAAGAATTTTTTTGCACATAAGTTCCCTGTATCTACGAGTACCATCGATAAAATTTCAGCGCTCGCGGCAATGTTTCGGTAAAATTATGCCCGACCGACTTTCGTGCATGACAACTGATTTAGAATAAATACAAAACGTCATTCACATTTGACGTCATGATGCGACAAGTATTGCGCAAACTCCTAACTTGCCAGTAACAGGGGCACGTCTGATCACAAAGGGGTCTTGAACGACTTTCCCGGAACAACCGAGGATTTGGGATATTCCCTCGTTAAAAAAGCTAAGCACCTTGACCACTAGAGCATACGTTAGCATAGACAACATGTAACTTTGAAACTCAGTTATATTCTCTAACAGGTTTTCTTTCCGATCTAGGAGTCTGTGAGAGAAGGTATCTACCTCCATAATCATTACCGCCGCCACATAGTAACGACTACAGTACTATGTTCCGGTCTTAAGATTAAAGAGAGCCAGTATACATGCCTGCCAAAATTTAAGACCACCTTAATTAAAGTAGGAAAATTAAATAAAATTCCAATAAAATATTAAATGTTTAATTAAACTGTTAAATCATCCAATAAAACACTTTTTGACAATCAATATACAAATACATAAAAGCGTAAAGAAGTATTAACAGTCCATGCTAAAAAGGCAATAATTAGCTAAACTGATTTTTTATCAAAATCCTCCTTTGCATTCTATGACTTTTTTCACAAGTCTCGGCATACGGGATAGGAGGAATCAATTTGTTGATTTCGTCTTGTGATATATTGCTCCAAATTTTGCACGAAGCATTAAAAATTTCTTTTCCCGAGAATGGACCACCATAACGAACGTTCCTATCAAGTTCTTCCCACAAAAGTTCAATGGGATTGATATCCGGGCTCTGAGAAGGCCAAACCATGTTTTTAACATCCCTTGTGCCTCTTTCTCTTCCAAATATCCTCTGCATAATTTTGAGCTATGCTACTATGGTTCATAAAAGATAGCTTGACCTCTGCAACAGCTATCAATAAAAATCACGCATATGAAGTCCTGAATTTCTTAGTAGTACAGACAGTACCTGTCAATATCATACTTTATGGACATGCCGACCTAATTAGGGCATGCCCAATAAAGTATGACATTGACAATTACTGTCTGTACTACTAAGAAATTCAGGACTTCATAGACGTGATTTTACTGACAGCTGTCGCAGAGATCAAGCTATCTTTTATGAACTATAGTCATACAACTAATAGCAATCCCGAAGGAACGGCATTTTTTTCAAAATTTTTTGTATTCTTCCTTTTTCATAATTCCGTCGATTTTAATCAAATAGCCAGTTTCTTGGTTAGAAAAGCAACCCCAGACCATAATTTAGTCACCACCATGCTTGATTATTGGGACTACACAGTCTGGCATCATCTTTTCTTGGTCACTGCGTCGAACGTAAATTCTTCGTTTTGAACCGAATAGCTCAAACTTGAATTCATCGGTTTCATTCATTTTTAAAATCTACTTCAGTTCAATCTCGATGAGCAAGGGCCCATTGCATCCGTTTTTCTTGTTTTGTGGCCTTAGCAGAGGTTTTCGGACGTTGACACGACCATACAATTTCGCATCTCTCAAACGCGGTTTTACTGTAGTCAATGATAACGATTTAACTCTGGTTTTGTTTACTACAACGCGGATTTACGGTGCTGTTAAGAGTCTATTTCGCTTGCTGTTACAACAATGAAATGATCTTCACTTGACGTGGTAGCTCTCGGCCTTCCCGAGCGTGGACGATCTTGAAAAGTGCCTGTCTCCCTGTATCGAGTTGTTGTGCCATGAACACAAGTCTTCGATAACTTCAATTGTAAAGCAATCTCACGTTCGAATTTGCCTTCATTATGCAAAACAACGATGGTGGAATGCACTTCACTGCTAATTTCGCGTGCTTTTCCCATTTTAAGACGTCTTCACTGTAGAAACCACAAGTTTAGACTAATTGCAATTGTTTGTGAAAATAGCTGTTTAAACTCAGATAATAATAAGTTGGAAACTCAGATAATAATAAGTTTATACGTGGTAGAGCCATGCTGCAGTTATATTGTAGTATAGTTGTAGCACGAATGGGTCGGCTCGACCGGGGAAGGACCACGCTCTCACAGAATACCAGCGTGAAATAGTAGCTTAATGCTGCTGTATTTCGTATGGTGAGTGTAGAGAACCGGAGACCCTTTTTACTGGAAACGAGGCATTCCATCTCAGTGCTCACGGGTGACAACGCATCTGCATTTTGATTTTTAATGGAGGATAGATGTAGATGTCTATGGGCCGCAGCAACCACTTACCATCAGGTGGACTTTGTGCTCGTTTGTCACCCTATTCTATAAAAAAACACGTCTTTTTAGAAGCTAAATAATCCTTATTATTGACCAATGGGAAACAAAAGCAAAGCAATTAGTTATTAGCCCATCATAAAAATATTATTACGACTCTACCACCTGGCTCTAACGCAGCGTTTGTCGGTGTTTGGAAACAATACATGTTTATTGTCCAATAACTTGAAAGCACTGACCTCTATATATACTTGTATATATAGAGGTCAGTGCTTGAAAGAGAATGACTTCTTCAGGTATTCGATATTAACAATAGAATATGCAGGTGTTCATTTCTTTTATTTATCTTATGAGATTTCGTTACAATTTATAAATAATTATGTTGTTTAAGTGTGGTCTTAAATTTTTGGCCGGCAGTGTAATTGTAGGCTATGAAGCAATCAAAGGTGATAACTGATAATGGATGTCATACACGATCCAGTTTACCGTCAAGTTTGCAGCACACTTGAAGCGGCATCCAGTTTATATTGCATCCGTATAGACTACTCACTACCTTCAAGTTCGCCATCGCAATGATGCCGCACCAGTTGAAACCATGTCACCTCTCGTTATTGCTCAAACTAATGTCATGCATACTTGACCGTTCATACATACGGTCAAGTTTACATGATACTACAAGCTTGATCAAGTCGGCAGAATCGAAATTCAATTTTTGCTTCAAGTAGACTTGTCATGCACAATGATAACCATACACCGTCAAGATTACCAGACGCCGATTCAAGCGCGCTGCAAACTTGACGGTAAACTGGATCGAGTTTTTTTAATAAAATAAGGGTGACAAACGAGCACACATTCCACCTGATGGTAAGTGTGTGCTGTGGCCCATAGACATCCACATTTATCCTTGATTAAGAATTAAAACACATATGCGTTGTCACCCCTGAAGTTTAAGATGCAATGTCTCGTTTCAAGTAAAAAAGCTCCGGATCTCTACACTCACCGTAAGAAACACAGCAGCATTAAGCTGCCATTTTACGCTGGTATTCTATGAGAGCGTAGTCCTTCCCGGTCGAGCCGAACTATTTATGCTACAATCATAATATAGCTGCAGCGTGACTTTACCACGTATAAAATGTATGGCATCCATGACATATCTGTATTAGCCATCCTTCTTTAAAGTTGGCTGCTCGTGTCCATCGACTGCAGTAGCCACATACCATTAGGTGGACTGTAAGTTCGTTTTACATTTCTACTTAATAATATAAAAAATACTATCTATTGTTTACAGGAGATGCTCATATCAAAAGAGCAATGTCGAGTGCAACCTCTGAGCGAAGCTCGCACGGCTAGTTCACTTCCTCACGCGCGACTTACTCGGACACCCTCTATTTCATCGCAGAGTAGTCTGGATAGCGGCACGTCGAGAGCGACTGTGAGTAAATATGTTTTTATATTACAGTACAAACACAAGTTTTCGGTGTCTATTCTTTTTCTCTCTCGTACACACACAAACAAGCACGCAGGTACACACGCATGCGCGTGCTACACTTTCTTGGAATTTCAGATACTATCTTTGGATCCAAGTACGTTGTGTATGGTAAAGTTCCAAATAGAAGTGATTCCACGACTAGTCTTCGCCGCTGGAACAAGAAAACTAGTTCCTTCCTAGCTTAACTTACTTAAAAACAAGTCCAAAGGACTAAACAAAGGGTACTGAAGCCAATTAGTGGTTTTTAAAATTTGTCCATTCACGATTCACGCAAAAACTACAGGAAGAATTTCCATAAAATTTTGTGTATTTAGGGATTTGGAGCAACTTATAGGCTACTTTTTATACGATTACGGAACTTATAAAATAGAGAGTATTTCTTCCTTTAGATGTTAATATCTATACAACAGTGGATACAGTTACACCTCCACTAAAAAAGTAATACACTATTATATATATATATATATATATATATATATATATATATATATATATATATATATATATATATATATATATATTAACCGTAATAACGTTGTGATGTAGAGCTAGAATGTTTAAGAAAACAAGGTCAAAAAGTAAGATATTCTTCCTCAATGAACATTTTCTACCACGAGAGCGGCGCCATTTAAAAAAAACCGGCCAAGAACGTGTCGGGCCACGATCAGTGTAGGGTTCCGGGTGGATATCCATTATTTTCGCGCTCCAGCAGCGCTCCGCGCTCCTGCAACTGCTCCCGGTTGTGTGTACTGTTGTTTCCATCCAAGTTCAAAATGATTTTCCTAGAAAGTCCCTATACAGTTATACTTTTCAGATTTTGTTCAAAAGTTAGAGGGGGGGACACATTGTTTTTTACTTTTGGAGCGATTATTTCCGAAATTATTGACATTATCAAAAAATGATTTTTGTAAACCTCTATTCATTTTTAAATACCTTTTCAACAATATATCACACGTTAGGGTTGAAATTAAAAAAAAATCACTTCCCACTTTATATAGGGGGGCTACCCTGATAAAACATTTTTTTTCCAATTTTTATTTTACCACTTTGTCAGCGTGATTGATATTGGTACCAAATTTCAGCTTTCTAGTGCTAAAGGTCACAGAGATTAAGTGAGGACGGACAGACGGACAGACAGACATGGCGAAACTATAAGGGTTCCTAGTTGACTACGGAACCCTAACGAGGTGTAATATTTGAGTGATTTCATAGCGAGGAAGTTAATTTGTTTGAAAAATGTAAAGGTTAATGTTTGTTTTTGTACTATTAGTTATATTTTGTATTAATCAGGTTGAAATTCAATAAACCAAACCACAGATATTCATAATGGTAGAAAAATTCAAAAAAGAGGTAAAATGTGCAAAAATTTATAAAGCAATCTACTGAGGCGTTGTTTTATGTATTAATTCAATACTATAGAAACTGATAAACTTTTATATAAAACTAACTTCCCAATTAAACAATATTGTGAAACAAAAACTTTGCCTCTGTGCCAAGTAGTGACATCTGGTGAGTGGAAAATAATAGCTCTTATTCGAAAGTAACCTTACAGCTTTTATACGTGCCACTGCTGGGCACAGCCATCTTTATATTTCTGAGAGGGTTCTTAGAACAGAAAAAACTCTACTCTCATCACACTATCATACTGTCTGTTGACAAACTCATTTATTTACTTTTATTTTTTAAATTTAGATTAGCCTATGACGCAAAGAAAACAGTATATTACCATGGTTTTGCCCACAACAGTCTTTTTTTTTTTTCAAGAACTATAGGTAATAGCACCATCTCTTTTTAATTATAATTTCATGAGATTTTTTGTCACATTACTAATAATCTGTTTTCGGCTACCTCGTTGGTCTAGTGGTTGTAATAGTGCGACTGCTGATCATGAGTCTAATGATTCTATCCTATTATATAATCCGCAGGTTCGTACCAAAAAATTTAATTACTTAGTTTTTCCGTAGAAATTCTCAGTATAATGATTCCTTATATTTACGCGAACACTAAACATGATTAAAACTACTTTTACGGATTTTATCGCGTTTATTTTTATATTTTATTTTTAATTCCCGACGTTTCGGGCGCTTTCCAGCACCCATGGTAACGGGGGACTGAGATGACTGACGTCCCGATGTCATTGTTAAACCCGGAGTACCTTCAGCTTTTTTAATTATTGTTTATGGTCCGATCTATGCAAAATGAACTGACTATGGCCTGAGGTCTTGCAGTGGTATGCTTGGGTTTAGTTTTAATTTTATTGATTATAGGATCCCAAGCAGGTGGTAGTACCCAGCCTCCTTCTCTATTGAAATTAGGATGTTTTTTAATTTCAATAGCCTCACGTATCATCCTTGGTAGGAATCGGTGTTCTTTCGCGAGGATTTGTGGTCTATCAAATCTGATGTAATGGTTGGGGCCGTCTAGGATATGATCACAAACTGCAGACTTCCCGGAACGTTGATGCTTCACATCAGCTATATGTTCTTTTACGCGGGTCCTAATTGATTTTAATTAAAAATAAAATGTAAAAATAAACGCGATAAAATCCGTAAAAGTAGTTTTAATCAAATTCTCAGTAGTTGCCCGGAGTCAGGAAGTTGGCGGTGTCTCACCCCCGTGCCTCGGAAAGCACGTAAAGCCGTTGGTCCTGCGCCTTCTGTCGATCTGCTCTCCGGTCGTGTCGGTTTACCGTCCCATCGGATTATGAGAGTGAGGGAATAGAGAGTGCACCTGTGCTTGCGCACACGTGCTAGTGCACACTTGGGCACTATAATCCTGTCCTGCGCCGATGGCTAGTCTCCGTTGAGGCAGGCCGCCGTGACCGAAATTCGGTCTGGAGGACATTATTATTCTGTTTTTATCCAATCGTCAAGTGGTTACCGTAAGAGGTGACAGAGGAAAACTGAAAGAGCAGATGGGCTGAATCTTACTGGCAACAATTCAAAGTAATAAAAATTGCTGATGCGGATGTTTTATTTCATTATTTGCCGAACGTTAATAACTTATAAAAAATTTTTACGTCGTTAAACTTTATCTTGCATAATATGTTACTTGCTAAAGGAAATCTTAAAAGTTGACAAAAATATTTTTTACCACAAGTCTTATATTTTTACTCAAAAAATATCGATCAAGGAATTTCATTTATATGGTATAGACTTAAATCTGTAAAAGCATCAATAATTGTATAATAAAAATTACTGTCGCGATATTTAATTTCGCAAGTCGATAATTGAGTTTGTTTATATTAATATTCTTTAAACATTTACCGACAGGTGTTTCTATTAACTTTTTATGATTATTCTCCATTGATATAAAAAGAACCTTTGTATTCCAAATATTTACTATATAATATAATAGGCTCAAATGTTTCGTTTCTTAAAAGAATGTAGTAGATAGTATATATAGAGACAGATATTACCACCGGTTATGATTTTTAATTACATCTCACTGCTGGGCACAGGCATGCTCTCTTTCTTAAGACGGTTTATCAAGGAAATGTCATTGCGTGGTGGCGAATTACACATGTATTCGGAATATTGTTTTTTTAATTTATAAGAGTTTCCTCACAATTTTTACTTCACCATCACGTGGTAAATCAGTGAAATTTACACCGAGTGCTTAGCCCCTGAGATACAATTGATCATGTTGATTAAACGGTGTTTCATGATGTACCGTAAGATTTTACGATGTTTATAGGAACCACAGACAATATTATTTAAGAAACAAAAAAACAAAACATATGTGCTGACCTAGAAGTGTGAATAATATCGATATTTAAATATTATTTTCACATCTAAATTGAGATTTTGTAAGTTACGCCTTCTGACACTTGGCTCATATCTGAGGTCATTGTCCGTTTTTCTCCATCGATTTGGCACATACTATAAACGTGTTCGCGTCAAAGGCGTAAATTGGTACCTACGGCTGCACGGTACGGACAGCAGCTGAGGCCTTCGTCGTTTTCACGTGTACCCCTCTGAAACAGACAGTTTACCTGATGTTAAGTGGATGCTGTGGCCCAGTCACATATATATCCTCCTTAAGAATCAAAAATCAGATGCGTTGTCACATCTGAGGAGTTAAATGGAATGCCACGTTACCAAAGGGGCTCCGTAATGCGCTGCAGCGAGAAGTACTTTCATGTGAAGAAATTTAATAAGTTGATAATTTATACATTACTGTATATATTTTTACTAAAGTTGGGCCGATTAGTACTTCGGCCGATTGGCCGATTAGCCGATTAGTCGATTAATCGGTTAAGAAATGATCGATTAATCGGCCCAGCCGATCCCTATCCGACGACAAATTCAAATGGTGAAACCGTGTAGTTTAACAAACTTTATTCAAGAACATTGAAGTAATATGTACTTACGTACTAGAGCAACTATCTCAAACAAAAATGTGCGCTACTCTGTGTTCGCGTGGTTGTTTTTTTTAATCATAGAATAAACATAGATAGAATGACCCGTAGGTAATAGTAGATCATTGAGCTATTATGTACTACGTACTAGAGGCTAAACTGCATTCAGCTACTCTGTTCCACTCAACTGCGGTGCATACACCGCACTTCAATCAGTCACTCGCTAGGCGCTTATAGAGTTGTCACGTGTTGTGTTGATTTAAAAATCACTTGATAAAAATATGCCGTCGTATGTACTTAGTATATATTGATATTGCACAAATAATTCAAAAAATGTCAGTAAAAACCAAGGAATTACTTTTCATCGGTTAATAAGATACTTAATCAATAAAAACGTATTATGTATTAATAATAAAACAAGTTATTCCTAAGACGCCATCTCGTGTCATGGAATATAGATTATGAAATTAATATGTTCAGATGCGACATTTCTGTGGGTACTTAAGTATAGGACGAATATATTATTATACACATTTTTTTAGAAACATATATAAGTTATTATGATTTGGCAAAATTTTTCATG